CAATATTGGTTGCAAGGAAAGTTGCTGGATTTGGGATCAACAGGTGGCAGCTCGTTACAGTATTGCAATATTTTATGATACAGTAGATTTCCAATACAGCAGACAGGAATCTGTTGGCTGAATCATACATCAGAAGATGGCACAACCATAAGATCTCTCCACACTCAACTTCTCACTGTGCACTTCCAGTGCTATGCATCCTGTACAAAACAATTTCCTCTTATTTTTGCCATATATCTCAAAGGGTTCACAATGCTTCTTTATATAGAGCTTTCATTTGGGTTTGAATAGAACTAAATCTATAAGCTCTGTCTAAAAGCTACTTGAAACAAACTTATTGGGAAGATAAATAGATACAAAGACGTGTTGTTGTGAAGGAATGGAAGAGTTGTTTGATGCTGTTCTAGTTGCAGCATCCAAAAAGGATTTTTTATATTTGCAAGTTTCAACCATTTTCTTGTTTTGATGGTGGGAGTTACTTCCCTTATATAATCAGATAGTTTTAAAAATATTATGCAACAGAAGATTTTAAGAGCTACTTTTTAAACATTCCTTTCAAAAGATAAAACATACTTTTGGATTATTGAACCGCTGGAAGTCTGGAACATACTGATTTCCTTCACACTGCCCATCTGGATAGAGACCACTTGTTTCTTGGATTACCTATGAGGGGAAAAAACATGATGTAAGCAAGTTCTTGTCTTATGGCCAGCGACATATTTTATTTTCTTCCTGTGCTGTAAAGTGTTCTGCTAATTTTAACTGAAGCATAACTCAGTTTCAGCAAATCAACTTTGAAGTTATAGCTATAAAAGCTGAGCTCTTTCAGAAAGCTATGCTTGAGAGTGAAATCTAGAACAAAAATATAAACAGTGCTCCAAAGGGCCAGAGGATGTGCTGGGCGAAACCCACCATTGTTCTATGCTAATTGAGAATGATTTCTTAGGCAACAGTCTCTGTACATGTCAGTAGAGACATTAAAATGCAAAACACTGCATGTGCCAACATTTTTTTTTAAACAATTCCTCTTCCGCTTATTAGAAGATGAAAACGATTTTTATTTCTGTGCTATAAAAAGCCTTACTGACCACTGCAGATAAAAACAGCCATGAGATACATAGAAGGTTAGCCCAGTTTGGGCTGACAAACCAACCCTGTGCTACACCAAGATGAGTGCATACATGTATTTTATGCTGTGGTTAGTTTAATTTAGAAACAGAGGCCTGGTGCCTTTCCAGTCAGTGTACTCGTGCTTTTAAAAGATTTACCAAACAGCATGTACTTGCTTTGTACTTGGACATTTTCACTTGACTATAAATTATTAAGAATTTCCCTGTGATTTCACAACTAACCTCAGTTCAGAGGTCTTTGGTCTGGAAAATCAAGACAACGATCCTGATGCAGAAAAATCAAAATAATAAGGACAGAAATGTCAAATGGCAAGGGCATGGCTACATAACATTGGGTGTTTATCCCTTGAAAAGCTCAGAAGCGCAGTATCTTCAAAGTAAAACCTGTTAGATATTTGCTTGGCAGTTCCAAAATGCAACAAAAATTTGCTAAGCCTTTCATGCTAGTGGAATCCCCTCTCATCCACTTGTCAAACACATCCATTCTGACAGTTGGAAATACATTTTCCCCATCCTGGCTATGTGTCAATACACTGCAAATATTTCTTAGTTGGTGGGATGTGGAAAACATTACGCTGGCTTGCAAGACAGTCTATAAATTAAAGATCCCTAACTTGCACAGAAGAGCATGACCATGCTTGGGATAACACTGGATTTTAGTTGCATTTGTGCCATTCCAGCCAAAATGTGCCAAGACTGATTGGTTCAGCCTTTACCATTAGCAGGGAATGCTGTCTGTGGTATGGGTATGACTAAGGGGGTAACCCTAGTTTACAACTTCTCCATATTACTGAAAGGCACTCTGCATGTGAAAGCTCTGTCTTTGCCTTGGAAGATTGGAAGAACTCTATAACTGATCATTATACAAAAGGAAAGGTAACAAAAGTAATACAAAAGCTAGAGAGGGATTAATTTCTTAGATATGTTAGGAAGATATTTGGCAGAATACTGACTGAAAGCAAACAGGAGGTGACAATGAGGAAAATTTGGTAAGTGTGTGTGGCTACATGTCAGGCAGGGTATGTGCAAACTGAATTTTTGCTCTTAAGCTGATCACTGGGAAATATATAAAGGTGAGAAAGAAAGTTTACTGTACAAATCCTGATTTAGAGAAAGTATATGATAGTGAATAGGTTAAATTATAGAATGTTTTGTGTAACTATGGAATTTAAGGTTGGTTGTTGAATATAATGAGAGTGGTATGATAGAAGTAAATCATGTGTGAGAAAAAATGGAATGCTGAGGAACTAACTGAATGTTGATCAAGGAATAAGATAAGGATGTATAATAAGCCCTTGGATGTTTAATGTATCAAGAATAAATGTATAAGAAATGTTTGTAGTGACAGGGGTTCTTTTGGCTGGGGACATAAATATATGGGTACTTTTGCATACATATGATGGCATGTTGTAGGCTAAGAATCCAAATTATTTGCAGTGAATTATAAGATGCAACTAGAAATATGGATCTAAAAATCAATGACAAAGTAGTTGTGTTTGACAGGGAAAATAGTAGCAAGTTATCCATAAATCACAGAAAGTAGTAAATCAATTTGTGTGCCTTGCTAACATGTTTGCTAAAGATGGGGAAATGGATGGGGAAATTTTAAGATGTGCAAAAACTGGTAGAAAGTGTATGGTATATGGTTTGTTGTGAGGAATGAATGTTTATCAAAAGAATCTTAAATGTCTATGTATAAGAATATGTTTCTGCCAAATTTATGATATGGAAATAAGAGTTGGACATGTTAGGAATAACATAAGAGTAAACTGAAGAAAGTAGAGATAGGTGACTTAAGAAGTGTGTGTGGTAAAACAATAAGCAACAGGGTCAAGAATGAATGGTTGCTTGACTACACTGTAAATTTTCTCCTTATGGCTTACTGGTGCTGCCCCCACCTCCACACAAAGTGAGACTTATTACATTGCTCTACCCCAAGCATCTAATGGACCCAGAGGAGTTCCACTGGGAGCTTGGATTTTTCCTGAGGATCTGCTGAGTTGTTTGTCTAAGGCCCCAGTCTTTGCCTGGAATGAGGAGATGATAAGGGCCTTAGATGTGATTGCTCTTATCAGCCAGGGAGCTCCAGAAGATAAAATATCAGAAGAGAAGAGATGCCTAGGGTGCCACTGGAGGAAGATAAAGAGTGGCTCCACAGAGCATCTGAAAGTCCCCATATTAGGGGTTACATTGTGGCAGTAAGAGCAGCAAAACATAATTATTTTCCCACTCTTATTGTCTCCATAGATAACTGACCAGTGACTCTTTTGGGATGACCTGCTCCTTTTGGGATAGACCACAGGATCATCTAGTGAGCTGCTGTGAAAAATATTCTAGGCATCTGGTGGATATACTGTAGTTATTTAGATTCACTTAGAGTTGGACTCAGTTGAGCTGATGGAGGCACAGTCTTACTTGGTTAGCTGGGAATAGTTTGATTCTGTGTTCCTCCCTAGCTTCTTGGGCTGTAAAGGAGATGGCGGGAGAACTGTACTTTCAGACTTGCAAGATTCTGTTAACGTAGCTTTACAATAAAGTAGAATTAGCTCATCTGGCTGTGTTTTCTGTTTGGTCTACCTAGTAAGGCTGACACAGATTTACCTACCTCATCTCAGCTTCCACATAGAAATTTCAGCTTTCTCTTAAACTGCTAAATAGAGATAGTCCTTGGTAGTCCTTGGGACTGGAACATCCATTGCTAAGCTATGTGGTCGTAATGTGTGATGTCTCGTGACCACATTGCTTAGTGATGGCAATCCCAGCAGTATTGATTGCCGTTGTAACCCCAGGACCACACAGCTCGTTAAGCAGGAAGAGGCGGGAGTCCCAGGCAAGGAGCATGGGGGGGGGCATCCGGGGGTGCCATGGGCAGGCGACACGGAGTGTGGCTAGGCAGGAAGTGCTATGAGATCTTGTACTTGTACTTCCTGGGATTTCATACTCTGTAGAGTACTCTGTAGTGCACTTGGGAAAAAAAGAGGCAGGAGCAACTTATGGGAGCAACTTGCAACCTTCTCTGCCAGCTTTCTCATTGACTTTGCTTGTGGGAAGCTGGCAGGGAAGGTTGCAAATGGTGATCACATGACTGGGGGATGCTATAACCCTGGTAAATGTGAGCTGCCAAGTGCCGAATTGCAATTACATGACTGCAGGGGTGCTGCAACGGCCAGAACTTCAAGGACCAGTTGTAAGTACATTCATTCATTTGCCCTTGGGCTTCTGAGACTTCATCAAGGATAAATGTGTGGGTTTCCCTCTAAACATACTATGTGTATATTTAAGTGTGATTAAAGTCATATTTAATCACATGACTGGGCCAGGGACCAAGTTCAGTGTTGTCATTTGCAATTGTGGCTTCAAGAAATCCCCACAACCTGGAGGAACAGACATTGCCAAGAAAGATGGCTCCACTCACCCTGAGCCACTGTTCTGCCTGGTCTTTACTCTGCAAACCTAAGACAATCACATCTGCATTCGCAGGGATGATTTTCAGCTTGTGTTCCTGCTTTCTCACATTCTTCTCCTTGTGAATGACACTGCAGCCCACCAAATTAACATCCAGCTGAGGACTATGGTCCTTGGAAGTCTTGTAACACTGTGAACAAAAGCAGTATAGTTAAGTTAACCTATTTATTAAGTTCATTAATTTATTTACAGTTATATAAAACATTGGTATAGTCACCCATCTTATAACCAACTCTGGGTGGCTTACAGTCAGTCAAACAATAAATAATCATAAAACAAAAAATGGTAAAACTAAAAGGAAAAAGAAAAACCTGGCACCACAACCACACTTCCCTAATGGAACTCACAACATTCTCATTCCGCTCTGACGCCACCGTATTCCAACACTTGGGGGAAGTGCCAAGTCTTAAGTGCTCTCCTGAAGGTTAAAGGGGGGGGGGCTGTTGGATCTCAAGGGGGAGGATGTTCCATAAGGCAGGGGTTGCAACAGAAAAGGAACACTTCCGAGGACCCACAAGATGGCAACATTTAAGGGAAGGGACCTGGAGTGTTCCTACCCTATCTGCTCTGGTGGGACGGGCAGATACCCTCAGAGAGAGGCATTCCCAAAGATAACCTGATCCCATGCCATGTTTAATGGGGACTAAACATGCCTAACATCAATGTATCTAAAGAGATAGGCTTGCTATTTATGTCATAGGTAATAAATATTATTTATATAATGTGAAGCCAACGGTCATGTGTTTCAGGTGGAAATTATGAAATAAATGATTCATAGAATAATAAAAATGTAAGAATAAATAATGAATACAGAATCGTTGGGGGTTACAAAGCGGAAATTAAAACTATCCAATACAGATGAGAAGGAAGGTCTCTACCCAGTTTCACATTTAATAAAATTTTTATGTGTGCCATGTAACTAAGCTTACTAATTCAAGCATACATTCTCATCACCAATGTTGAAATGATATTTGGGGGGGCGGGGAAGCAACTTGTTATTCACCTCAAGCATTAAAATCTCTTGAGATGTTCCTTTGCCTAACCCTATACATCCAATCCATGTACACTTTCTCTCTCACACAAATATACCATGAATATATGGAATAGAGTAAGGAGTGGCAAGAGTTACCTCCACTGTTTATCTGTAGTTGCTTCCTGCCTCATTACGAACCATACCAGTTAAAATTCCTCCATGTTCCTCCCTACCTGTACCATTTCCTCTGCCCAAACATCGTCCTGCAAACACTTCTAGTCTTGAGTACCATTAGCTGCTATTTCAAGAGTGGGAAACCTAGAACCTTTCCATAATCTACTAAGTGACTATCACAAATATGAAAGTAAAATTTGTAGTCCAAAACATCTGAAAATTACATATCCCTAAATTATTTGGTCTCATTTTAGGTTGCCTTCTCAGAAATATTTGTTTCCTTACTGTAGGAAGTAAGTTCATAGACTAAGTAGCCCTTTTGGTTTTATTCACCATCTTTCTTTTCTGAATTCTTCATATTTAAAGTTTTAACAGAAAAACTTCCAGAATAATTTATATTTTAAACATACTTTCTGGTTCACCAAATACTTACTAACAATCTGTTGTCCTTAATCATGCAAAGCTGCTTGGCCCATTGGCCCAGCCATTTCTTTCGCCACAGAAAAGCACAGATCCGGGCATCTTTCATAAGTTCAATAGATGCTTCAGGGGATGGCCACTGGTGAGGAGCTGACTTGCCTTTACTGCTCTCTTCCTCATCGTAGGATTCATAGGAGCTGCTGACTGCTTCATCATCTGCATTCAAGGGAAAAAGACCATTATATTTATATCCAGGTTAGGAAGGGATTAGATTCTTCTATGCTCCAATAGGTAAACTGCAATGGATTCTAGGATGTATGACAGAGACAAACAGAAGTAAAGGTAAAGATGGCTTGAGAGCTTGTAAAGTTTAAACCATCATAACTTGTTCAAGAAAAAATGGCAACTTTCCTCCCATTCCACTTTGATCAACATAGAGAAGAACATTATCTAATGAATTTGAAACTTTTTAATGTCATAATAACAACTACCTCATGTAGGCTGCAATCATAGATCAAACTCAGATCTAATTTGAAAAGTGAATGGCATGAATCACATTCATATAAAAGAATTAGCTGATTATGTACCATCACGTCATTTTCAACCCCTAGTGACCACATAGATAGATCTTCTCCATGACAATCTATCCCTAACCTGTTCTTTTAGATCTCCCAACGGTGCACTCATCAACCCTTGTATTAATTTTGATAGAACTAGTACACCTATAATTTGAAAATCTGTATAGTGGACACTTCTATTTTAATTAATCCAACCAAGCTATAATGGTATGAAATAAATCTCACAGTGATACATTTTGATAATAACATGCATGTTTCACACATGGATTTTATTCAATTTGAAGTTACATAATTTATCACTTTTATTAATTCTAGATTCTATTACACCATGCAAACTGATGATCTTCAAATGTCTTAGATTTCAAAACCCATCACTCTTAGACAGAATAGCTAGTGACAAAGAACTGTAGTTGTTGTAACTTATCTTGCATTAAAATAATGATTTCCTTTTAAAAAAAATCTTTATGAACATTATAAAAAGCAGGAAATAAAGGAAAAGGAAGGCCTGAAGATACCATATTGAAAGTATGCCCACGTACCTGCTTTGGACAAGCTAACACTGAAAATAGTGTGATGAACAAATGCAGCTGAATCTTATTCCATGCCATATCACCATGGTTTTGTGTTTTGTTTTTTTTTCCTGATTATTGCTCTGGTCACCAATTTCTTCATGTGCAAACTAGCATTTAATTTGGGGAGCTAACATTTCCTCATTTCATGAGCCTTACACACAAGTGGAAAAATATGTTATCCAATACCCTTCATTTTGCTATTGTCCTGGAAGTCCTCATTGTTGTCAAAGACTGTGTGTCTTTCTTTAAATGATGAAATTCGCACTACAAATAATTTACACTATTTTACACTACAAAAAATTCTCAGGGGACTGATTTTTAAGGCAATGCGATGCTTCAAATTCAGTTCCCTAAAGGTGCCAATGTAGGACCTTTCTGCAGTTCTTTACAGCAGTTGTGCTTTTCCCCAGGACTGAGCAGCAGCGGACAAGTGCCAGGTTCACACTCCTGTATACCCCTTCTGTAATTGAATCCAAAGCACTACACAGCCCTACTGTTCCTGATTTTGTACAATCTCTCCTACTTTACAAATCCATGGAAAGGACTTGTAAAGTAGGAGAGATTGAGTATTTTTACTCTTTGACAAAATAAGCTGGTTTGTGACCATGAATGCAGAGGTGACACATACGGAGTACTGTTGTATTACCACATCCTAATAAAAGAGCCTCTCTGAATTTCAAGCCAAAGACGACTATATGTGCAGGAATCATATAAAGCACAAAAGAATAAGAAGTCACGCTGAAATGAAAGAAATGTGAGAAATAATACTAATGTGCAACCTAGCCTAACAAGACGGTACAGCCAGTCCATGCTGCATTATCTTTGCATGCTTCCAAATTGTTTAAAAGTATTGCAATCAAGCACTCTCCTATTATCAGCTTTGGTTGTTACAATAACAGCAATGCCTGTGTTTGAACTTTATATTATATCACAGTTTGGTACAACATCCATGAGCACTGAGGAGCGAGAGAATGGAAGTTTTCATTTACAGTTCTGCTTAGCCACTGTTTGTCATGAACCATAGGGCTAATCACAGTTTAGATTATGGTTCTCAATCTTTTCTATTTTAAGTCCAACCAATCACTTGTTCATAGAACCTGGATCCCACCATGAAAGAAACAAAAAGACCATGTTTTCCCAGAAGGACATTTATACATTATACATACATAGCATTTTGGTGTTAAATTTATAACATAGCTTAAGTTTGAAAGACCTAAATTTCAGTGATTTACAGTACCTAACTACATTTGAGTCATTCTGTAGCATGTCTATCACCAGCTGAGAACTGGAGTTACTGTTTTAGGTAACATAACAAGCCATTATTAAGTAAAAAGAAAAAAGAAAAGAAATTTCCAAGCTCCTCTATATAGCCATCCTAATGGAGAGGGACAGGCCAGAGTCCACGTCCAAACTTGCTGCAGCTCACTCACTTCCCACTGAACTATGAATATTGTAAGATCTGAACAAAGCTAATAGTTTGTATCTTAAAAGTTGACTTGAGTCTCATAATTTTTTTAGAGTAATTTTATTAAAAAAATTACAATTGCAACAATAAAAACTAATACAAACTAAAAAAATGAAAGAATAAAAAGAAAAAAATAGAAAATTCAGAAAAGAAAAAGTAGAAAGAAAAATAGAAAAGAAAAAAATAAGAATATAGTAAAGAAAAGAAAAGAAAAAAATGACTTCCCCTTTCATCGCAGCAAGTATAAACAATTTTAGTAATTTATCACCTTCTT